AATGACTCACAGAACTCAGGAGAGTGCTATAATTACAACTGAAGTTTTTTTTCTTCAATATTTATGTGAAAGAGAGAGAGAGAGCGAGCAATCTTTTTTAAAAGATTTCTTTATTTATTTTGAGAGAGAGCAGGGGAGGGGCAGAGAGAGAGAGAGAGAGAGAGAGAGAGAGAGAGAGAGAGAGAGAATCCCAAGCAGGCTTTGTGCTGTCAGTTCAGATGAGGGACTCAATTTCACCAACTGTGAGATCATGACCTGAGCCGGAATCAAGAGTAGAAAACTTAACCGACTGAGTCACCAAGACGCTTCACAATTGCAGTTTTTATATAATAAAAGGATATATATCAGAACCAGTCAAAAGAAGAGATACATAAAACAGGATCTGGTACTGACAGGATTCCAAAGGCAAAGCTTCTGGGACCTCATAGATGCATTACCTTCATGGCATTAATTGTGGCAATGTGTACATGGAGTATCACAAGCCCAGGAAGGTCACCTGAGCTTAAGGTTCAGAGTGTTATTGTAATTTCATTATATAGGCATAGTTGACTAAATTATTAGCCACTGTGTTTGAACTCAATCTTCAGTCCTCTTCCTCTTCCTGGAGGTCAGGTTGATATTACCTAGCTCAAAGTCCCAACCCTCTAATCACATGGTTGGTCCTTCTGGAATGGCTGGTTCCTTCCATAAGATATCAGTGTGAACAGCCCCACCCTGAGTCAAGCCTTTAGCAAAAGCCATTGATGCCCACCATGAGTCGCCGTGTTAGCATAAACAGTTCGGTATGGTGCAAAATTCCAAACATTCAGAGGTTACCTCATAGGAACTATGGACCAAGGTCAATCAAATTCATTATTGCATATTCCTTCACCACTGCCCCCTCTCTAGAACTATTACTACCCAACATATTGTATTTTCCTTATTTATCTTGTTTATTGTCTATCTTCCTCAAAGAATGAATACTGCAAGGGGCAAGAGTTTTTATTTTTGTCTTTGTTGATTTTCTGTGACTTAAATAAACCTGAAATCGTATGCATTCAGTATTTGTTGAATGAATAGATGAATTTTTTTTGCTAAATTCAGATTCTCTAATAGCCCTTCTACTCTGTAAATTAATATACAATTTTATTCAAGTGTGACTTAACATAGAATATAAATCTATAAACATTTAAGAATTTATCCATTGTCATCTGTAGCCCTCTCACAGGAGTGGAATATTTCAGATGGCCTTTCAATTTACAACTACTAATCATGGCTTTATCTTACTAGAAATATATTCACTTTAAAATCATTGTATAGCTTTCTTAGATACCATTGTCTCAAAATTCTTAATCAAAAAGAATCTTAATTCTTATGTTAAGATTGATAGGCAATCCTGGGATTTATAATCCCAAGAAAACTTGATGCACAGAGCTGAATGCATACTTTGTCTTCATATCAGGCATCCTGAGTCAATTAAAGTCTTTTTTATAAGTCTATTCATAAAATAAGACATCAAATCTTCGCTCAAATATCAATGACAAGCAGGTAATTTCCTGAAATACAGATGTTAGGAAAATACTCTGCCTTTTTGGTTAAACAAGCTGTGTCTTAAAAATTTTCCAACCTACATAAGAGGAAAAGTGTAATGAATGATATTTAGACCGCTTCTGTATACCACAAAGTAGGGGGAAAAAAATCTCATAGTAAAAACAGAGCAGAGATTTCTCTATTTTATAAAAAAAAAATTTAGGTATTAGCACTTTGAAGTCTCTATTTTGTGACAAGAACAGGAAATATTTTTAAAAAACAGCAAAGCCAAGATGTTTAAATATATCTTATAGTTTTGAGACTAAAATTATATAGTGTTTCAGAATTGTGTATCTGGAAAATACGTTGTGTTTCATAAAGTCTTTAATTGATGCAGATAGAAAGTGAATTATATCTCTTGTTAAGTTTTAAATTCTTTGAAGATTTCTTCAAATTATACAGTAAAATGCTCCATCGCTTCAATAGCTATTTCAATCACTTTTTGAAAACTATATCTGCATCCATAGACAAAGGAATTTTATTATCTCTGAATTGCATTCTGGAATTTCATGAGTTATTTCATAGGACAAAGTTTGTCAAATGAACACGGGCAGTGCCAATAGTGCTTTGCTCTTGAACTCAAGTACAAGTCAGCTCACTTTAAGTCACCATTTGCAGCAGCCAGAAATGAATGAGCAGTTAAAATCGTGCCATAAGTTAATTAGAGTGGAATTAGAAGGAAAGTGGGCAATTTAGGAACATAAGAATTGCTGTACCGAATCAGACCAATGGTTCTCCTGGTTTAATATCCAGCCTCCAGCAGCTGTACTTGTTAGCTTCTAAAGCTTTAAAAGAAAGGGAAGAGACTACATAATTCACCTAGACAAGTGTGCCATCTGTGATCCAGAGAAATTTTCTTCATGACCTCTCTCAAATAATACCCTAAAGCAGGAGGTTTCAATCCTGTTATGATATTGGTTTAGCTTGAATAGCTCTGGTTATTAATAATTCTTTTTAACCATCCAATTCCTACATAAAATCAACTAGTCCATCAAGAAGCTATTTATCTCCAAAGCTCCTGAATTCATGGTTGAATATGTCTACTTTTATGATAAAATATGAATTTATGGTGCTTATTCGATACAAGTTCTTGATGGCAAAATGTGCCTGTAGATAACCACGCTGAATGAATGCCTGCTTCTCTTTCCAAAATCTACTGAGTTCACAGGCTTTTGGAAAACAAAACAAAACAAAACAAAACAACAAAAAAAAAAACCTTGTATCTGCTGTCACTACTCCGAACTTTCTATCCATACCAATCTACAGAACTATTAGAATGACAAAGAAATTTGTGCATTGAATTTTTAGAAAAGTTCAACTAGAGTTTTTCTTACATAATTTTACTTAAGCTAGACTCTAGGAGAAAGGAATGAATTACTTATCCTTATCACTTTAGTCTTCTGTTTATGATAGAAATACCTGTGACTATAGGTTCTTGATTATTCTGGATAACTTCCAGGTCAGTATTTCTAAAATGTTATGTTCAAAATAAGCCATTTAGTCAAAAATCCCTTAAGAATAATAAATGCCTGAAGTTGTACTTCAAACCATTTTCCTAGGCTGTCAGATGTTAATGCAATAACACTGATATCCTGAAGCTGTAACTCTAATAGGGTGTCCTTTATCCTATATTCCAAGAAAACTAGTTTTTTCATTGTTATTTGACCTAACATGAACACTCATTATTTATACTTATGTTAATTGTTTTCCCCTTCTCTAGTTTTTCCAACTTCTCTTTCTGGATCAGTTCTTTATTTGCTCTTCTTATGTCAGTTAGAATCTCCTTCCTTCAGGCAATTTTCTTGCAAACATGTAGTGATTGTTCCCTCTTCTGACAATTTGTGTCCCTTTGTTTATGTTTGGTTTAGGCTACCATATATTGATTCTTTGTTTTCACGAATGTTCTTCCTTGCACATATGTACATATGTTTCCCATATTTGTTTGTATTTCTAGATCTTAGAGCAGAGTCTAATTCATAATCATAGCATAAAAGTTCATTAAAGGGAAATCTAGGGACTCACCAGTGGCTATTTGGAGTCTCAAAATGTTTACTCTTTGAATTTGTGTTTGTGTGATCTAGGTAAGAACATATTATTGAGTGCTACAAAGGTGCAAATAAACCCCAAACTATAACTTTCTAAAAAATAGAGGGGTGCCTGTGTGGCTCATTCCGTTGAGTGCCCCACTTCAGCTCAGGTCATGATCTCATGGTTCGTGGGTTTGAGCCCCGCATTGGGCTCTGTGCTGACAGCTCAGAGCCTGGAGTCCGTTTCAGATTCTGTGTCTCCCTCTCTCTCTGCCTCTCCCCCACTCATGCTCTGTCTCTCAAAAATGAATGTTAAAAAACATTTAAAATTTTTTTCTAAAAAATAGAGACAAGTGTTATTGATTTAAAAATCACAATGAAAGATATAGGAAATATCAGCACAAAAGGAGAATATAAAAAAGAGAATTGGAATTGACCTAGACCCATGCTATCAGGAAATGAAGGGATTCCAAGCAGAGTAGCTGTGACAAGGGCAAGGAAGTGAAATAGAGGAGGGAATTACTAAGGAACTGTCCCTAATTCCTGTTGGTTGCCTTATGCAGAGACTATCTGAAAATAAGCTTGGAAATATGGGTGGCACCATATTAATTAAATTTATCTGAACCCACAGTGAATCACTGACACAATTTTTAATCAGTGAGCAGATCTATAAGAATGTAAGATCAACTTAAAAGTGAGACTGGGGCACCTTGGTGGCTCAGTCAGTTAAGGATTTGACTTTTGATTTTGGCTCAGGTCATGATCTCAGGGTTCATGGCTTTGAATCCCTCATCAGGGACTCTGCACTGACAGTGCAAAACCTACTTGGGATTTTCTGTCTCCCTCTTTCTCTGCCTCTCCCCCCGCCTCTCTCTCTCTCAAAAGAAATAAATGAACCTTTATCTTTAAAAGTGAGACTGAAGGCAGTTTCCTATAGTAATGAAGTTATTGCATAATAAGATGTGTAATCAGTCACAAACTCAGACAGTAATGACAGGAACAAATAGAACAACATAGATGCAAGATATTGAGAAAATGGTATTAATCTTCATTGTGAAAAGATTGGATCTGAGGTAAAGGAATAAAAGGAAACAAAAAGAATACTGACCCTTCAAGCTTGTTTAAGCTTGTCTATTCCTGAAATAGAAAAAAAAAATTTTTTTCTTCCTTGTATGTTAAGCCAAAATGCATGGAAAAAGTTTTTCTTTAAATTTTAATTCCTACACTTTTAACTAATTTAATGCTTCAAGTTACTGAAAACATTCTACCCAGTTCATTTTTACTTGACCTCATCAAAACAAATCCACATTTTTTCTGACTTTTTAAAAGCTCTTGTTGGTTTTTGAGAACAATATTCTAACAATGATTTTAGTAGAACTATACTGTGTCTCTTTAATTTTTTAGAAATCCAAATGGAACCCAGAACAACAGCACACGATGGCCTGCCTTCAGAAGCACCGATCAAAAATATTTAACCTTGAATGCAGAGTCACCAAAAATATACACTAAACTACGTGCTCAACAATGCCGATTCTGGACACTATTTTTTCCCAAAGTCTTGGAAATGACAGGTATGTGCTTTTTAGTAGTTGGTCAAGTAATTGATTGTGGATTATGTAAAAGGGAGAAAAGGTAGACTATCCAAGGCACAGTGATGGTATTAATTTGTGATTTTACAATTACTTGATTCCAGTGAGTAGATAATTTTAACAACTTTCTTCCAGCAAGTTTAGATGTGTTTTGAGGTCTTACTATATGAGTAGCACTTTAGTAGTAAAGAAAACTAAAATAGAAATTCTCCCGTAGAGGAACATAAAACGTGGTAGTGGAACTAAAATAGGGCACTGCTTGCTAACACATTAGTTAGTCTATGTGTAACTAATTAATGGATAAATGAACAAATGAATATATAAAGAAGGCAATGTATAGAACTAAAAATATAATTAATAAAATATAGAATGAAATATAATTTATACTCAAAGAGAGGTAAAAACAAATTTATTGATAAACAGAACTCTTGATTTCTAAGGGGGGAAAAAACCCTCCAGAATTAAATGTTTAAAAGCAGACTCCAAACATTTCTAAATATTCTGAGGTTAGAGATATTTATCTTGAACACATACATGTATTCCATAATACAATAAACAAACAATAATTTAGTTAATCTTTAAGAAAGGATTCCATAAGCTTATACAAGGAAGTGCTAGGAAAACTGGTCCATATTATTATGTTATTTCAAAACTCATCAGTAAGAAGATATTTAAATCAACTCGAGCAATCAGCTTGAATGATCGCCTCTTCTGTGAGGAAAATGACATGTGTATCTCACTCACTTGCTGGTTTTAAAACGCCCAGCTGTTTCTAACCCATGTGACTCCTCAGGTCTTTATTTTTCAAGTAAAAGTAATTGACTTTCAACCATCAGACATATTGCTGCCCCATTCCTTTAGACTTTACCACTCTGTTCATCATAATACTCTGCAATTTTCAGGCTGTGTTAGATACCGCAATATAGTAGCTGTTTTGGTTTAATGTTTAGAGAGGTTGGGGGTTAGTTTCAGGCAAATATGGGCATCTCAGAGCTATATTTGATTGTTTAATATGTGTTTTAATTATCAGACATTACTCACCAAAATTATAATTATGTACTCCATCTGTTTGGGAGATGTTTCTGATATACCCGTGCTCTGTGTATTACTAAATGTTCTGTGACATAATATATATCCAGAGATGGGTTTCTGCATCCCTTGGCAAACCTACAGTGCTGCCCTTGTGTCCTCCGGGTGTGAATAACAATGAGGTAACATGTTTAAACTGCCAAGAGACCAAAAGAGGTACCATTTAACATATCACAGATGGCACATTCTTAATCTTTACTTAAAATATTTTTAAATGAGAAGGTTGTACTTGAGGGACAATGAAAGGGGAGTGGGGAGGATTTTCAATGACCAACTTATCATAAGCCAAATTGACTTGTTCTGGTTTGAGCTTGTGCAGCCTATTGTAATTTATTTGTTGACAAAATAAAACTTCAGTATCAACAATTTTTGAAGATGTACTTCAAAATCTCTATCTTTAAATAGTGAATTGTCATAAAGCAGATTGAATAAACAAACTGTTAAGTTTTTGGCTAGCTGCCACTCCTTCCTATCCAGTGCTGAACCACTCCCTAGTTGAGCAACACTGAGCTGTTTGGAAATACCATACCTTGCTCTGGGTTTGTACAGTGCTTTGGAATAGTTCCAAAGTGTCTTTAAAAAACACAATTTTATACTTTAGCATTTTTCAGATAATTCTCCCCAAAAAGTTATATTCAATATATTTTATAAAATTTAAAGTAAATGCATGATATGATTGTTGTAAAATCAATGTCTTCATTAATAATCAACAACTTTTTTTACATTTAAACAAAACCAGTTTGAAGTTACATGTTTTTAGGTTTTATAAATAAATAATGTAGGGGGATTAAAAAGATTAAGAAAACAGGTTCTTACCATATTTTGTGTATTTCAAGTTGCAAAACCTCATACATTTCAATCTTTGATATTTTGCAAATTGGGGTTATTCAGATGACTTGTGCTGAAGTTTCTATGGCAATATTATTAAATGCGCACACACACACACATGCACACGCACACACACACACACACACACACACACACACACACACACACCAGCTCTACACATAAAGGAAAAAAAAAACTAACTGGATTTCTTAAAAGGAGAAATATTCACCTCACTCAAGATGGAAACCCAATGAGCTTTATAAGTACCACTTGAGCAGTAGTTTACTTTTGAGCAATAAATGTTCTCAAATAAAATGATCCTTAAGATTTGTTTAAACACATGAATTCTAGCACTTAACTTTCAGACTATACTTCAGCATATGCCTGTGCTATTATTGCATGCACCTGCAAGAAATAAAATGTGCAGTATTTGTTTCAGATGTTATCAACAATTTTCACTCAAAATGTAACTGCACAGTACTTCATAATTGTTTGAAAAATAAAGAAAAGGAAGTAGAGAAATGATCCATTCAATGTCAATAAGATACCAATATTTTTCACTAAAAGTGAAAGAGTAAATTTACCTAAAGGAAAAACCACTTTGACCTTCAAATCTTCCCAATGAAGAAAAGCGTTAGATCTAGTGTTGTTTTCCTTTGTTGCATTTTAAAAATACAGACATACATAGAAGATATTGCCATTTGGTTTCAGACCACCACCATAAAGTGAATATCACAATAAAGCAAGTCAACGAACTTTTTGGTTTCCAAGTGCACATAAAAGTTATATTTACACTATACTGAAGTCCATTAAGTAGTAGACATAGTAGCATTGTGTCTAAAAAAATAGTGAACACATCTTAATTTAAAAATACTTTATTGCTGGGGTGTCTGGGTGGCTCAGTCAGTTAAGCGTCCGACTTCAGGATTCTGTCTCCACCTCTCTCTCTGCCCCTCCTCTGTTGGTTCTCTCTCTCTCTCTCTCAAATATAAATAAACATTTAAAAAATTGAAATAAAAATACTTTATTGCTAAAAACACTATCATCTGAGCTACTTGATAGCATTTGACCCACAGTAGAACTTTCAAAATTGGGGTCAATCCTCTCAAACCCTGCTGCTGCTTTATCAACTAAATTTATGTAATGTCTAAATTCTTTGTTGTCATTTCAACAATCTTCACAGCATCTTCATCAGGAGTAGATTCCAGTTCAGGAAATGACTTTCTTTGTTCATCCATAAGAAGCAACTCCCCATCCTTTACAGTTTTATCATGAGATTGCAGCAATTCAAATAGAATAATAATGAAAAGTTTGAACTATTGCAAGAAGAACCAAAACATGACATAGAGACATGAAGTGAGCAAATACTGTTGGGAAAATTGTGTGGATAGACTAACTTGATACAAGGTTGCCATAAACTTTAAATTTGTAAAAACGCAGTATCTGCAAAGCACAATAAAGTAAAGTGCAATAAAATAGGTATGCCTGTAAGTGATGTCTTCATAAAGCCTAGCCTGAGCTTATGGTAATTCACTCTGTAGTATTAGTATAGATATAGTTCACTCTAATCCCACACTCAGAATTATAACAGGAAAATAAATGTGTTTCTGATCTGTCTCATAAAGAATTATGCATTCCTTGGTAATTTTAGTAATTGATTAACAAATAGGAAAATAAGTAATGGGGACAAGAGAGATTTTCAATGAAATCTCAAAGTACATGAATCACTTTTTTTATTATAATGATGAGAACAATTCAATATCCATTTTAATCTTTTCTTCTAACTTTACCTCCATTTATAATTTTGAGTCAACTCACCTCTCCTGTATTCCTTCTTACCTCCTTCAACTTGATTAAATAGACTCCACTCTGGTGAAATATGCTCACTCTTTTTTAATTGGCAAGACAAAAAGTAGCTTTATTAGTATTACTCTTTCTGTAAGGAAGAAAGCCTGACTCTTTCTTTTTCCAAGTGAGACAACAATGTGGACAAATCAAAGAGCATGAAAGTCCTGAAAAAGTTGTGTCAATATATTTATGAACTACTGGTATTGATCTAGCTGTACATGGATTCAATAGAGAACAAAGTTAAGAATAAATTTTTGTAATAGGGCAGTAAATTCATTTTTGGAGCTCCCAATAGCTGTATCGAGCTTGATTTTATAATGTACATACCAGCTGATTTATCCTTCACAGTAACACTGCACAATAGTGAACACCAACCCCATTTACAGTTGGAAAACTAATTTGAAAAGTTAAGAATTCTTGCTATGTCAGAAATATAATAAGTGGTCAAGCTGGAATTTAACCCACATCAGTCCAAAGCCTAAATAATGTATTTTATTTCACATTATAGTACCTTGTTAACTACAAGATGATACATCTACATCTCACAGATGATCAATCTATAGCCACTTAAGTACTATTCCAGTTTGGAGGAACAGGAGAAGTAAGAGGAAGAAAAAGAACTAATTTTGGTTTGATTTATGTCATGGATTCAAAATTTTTGTTATCTTTTTACTAAGGTGTATTCAGTTCTTCTGAGTTGTATTAGAAAAAAATCAAATGTTTCATATTTTATTGTCTTAGTCAATGTTCAGTATTATTAAAGAAAAAAATTTTAAGGTTTACAATGCATTTGTGCACTAAAAAGCAAAGTATAGTGTTTGATTATGATACATAAGGAAATAAGTTTACATTTATATGAATTAATGGATTTGGCATCATTCTATGTACAAGAAAAAAAATTAAATCTAACACTTTTTTTCTGAGTATTAAAATTCATGGTGTAAGTGCTAGATTACCAATCATTTATTTCTTTTTTTTTCATTTATTTCTTATAACAAAAATTTTGTTCTTTCTGAACTTTAGAGCCCTTATTTTGCATAACACTTAAAACAGCATTTAATTATAAAAAATATCATAGGAGTGGATCATTTGGCATGATATTTAATGTCTTTCACATCTAATGTTTTTTTAGAAAAGTTCTATTATTCACAAAATAATTACAGTCATTGACCTTTTAAAAGCCATTTTTAAAATGGGAAATTTTTGTATGTATTCTCAAATATTTATCCAAAGTCCAAGCATTATGAACATTTCAAACTTAAATATATCTTAAATTACAGGGGATATTTCAGTAGCTGTGTAAATGTTTTAAATATTTTGATTTTCATATAAACTAAAAATAAATCACTGAATGTGCTCCATTGTTAACAGTATGAATGAAACAAAGACATATTTTCATGTATAATGTAGTGAGATCATATGAACTGCCTTCTCCAAATTAATATCTTACAAAGTTATAATTAATTTCAAAAATTCCTAACTGAAAAGTATATAATTAAAACACTGTCAGTCTTTATTCTCAAGGTAACTGAAATAACTCAAAATGCTGTTTTTAATTCAATGACTATAGCACAGCATTCTAAGAGTTTAAAAAGTAAAACAACAAATGTGTAAAATACTTAGAGATTTAAATAACTTAAACAATCTTCTAGCTTTATCATATATATTAATATTAGGAGGGGCTTCTGGGTGTCTCAGTAGGTTAGACATCTGACTTTGGCTCAGGTCATATCTCAAGGTTCATGAGTTTGAGCCCCACATCAGGCTCTGTGTTGACAGCTCTGAGCCTTGAGCCTGCTTCAGATTCTGTGTCTCCGTCTCTCTCTGCCCCTCACCCACTCACACTCCTTCTCTCTCTCTCTCTCAAAAATAAATAAACATTAAAAATTTTTAGTATTAGGAACATATATACATAATTTCAGAAGTTTGTGTTCAAGAGTTTCTATTGCTCACAAACTTTATTCTTTAATGTAATAGATTTTCAAATAAATCAAGGTTTCAAGGTGCCTGTAGTACACATAGACTGTTTTTGGTTCATTGCCTCACATTATTTCTGACATAAACACTCCTTTCTCCTGACACATGCATACACTTTGCAAGCTACTGAAGAGCAGAGATTTTCTTAGTCATCTTTCTAATTTGTAAAGCAATTAATAAACTGCTTTCATGTAGTAGTTTCAATAAGCTGCTTTCAATGAGTAGGCATTGTTTGGAATTAAAATAACTCATATAGGGTGAGTATAAAATCTTCATGGAATGTCAATTACAAAGTTACCCTTATGCATTAATAAATATATATAAATATTTTCATCAGAAATAATAGTCTGTTGTATCATACATAAATGAAATGCATTAAATGAGATTTCTGTTATGCAGAGGGGTTCAAAAAAAGATAACATCTATATATCTTCTTAGAAACTAAATATATGTTATGTAATATAATTTGACATAGTATATCAATTCATGTTCACATTTTTATGATATATTCAATTCACATATATATTATTTGCATTTCCATGTAAAGTATAAAATTTTATTAAAGCTTTTCAGGTAGCGAAAGAAGCTGATAATAAATAATGAAAAGTAAAAAATTACTGCACAGTGTACTTGGAGAAAATAGCGTCTATAATCAAAATTATTTTTCAATTAATGTAAACAGATTAAAATTTAGATTAATACAACTTATTCCATGTTTTACAGGAAATATTGATGAAGCAGAACGAGAATGGAGAGCAGGATTCTATCGCTGGAACAATTACATGATGGACTGGAAAAATCAATTTAATGATTATACCAGCAAGAAAGAAAGCTGTGCAGGTCTCTAATTAATAGTTTTACCCTTTATAGAATGTTCATTTTCCTATAGATCAAGGTAAAAATATCACTAGCTCTCTTACACACCATGTAAGAAAGCTATTATACTGCTGAAACAAAAATGCCAGAAGGATAATATCGATTCCTCACATCTTTCACTTAGTATTATACCTAGCATTTCAAAACCCAAATGGCTAGAATATGTTTAATTAAATTTCACAATATAAAGTTTGACAATTAATTTTATGCATATTAAAATGATTTGTAGCTTCAAATTCTCTTTCCTGAATAACCTTAAGAATTTTTTCTCTCAAAAAATACCTGTATTCTACTTTTAGTTGCATATGTATGTTTATGGCCACTCATAAAAAAAGGTATCTTTTTAAAATGAACTAGGTTTTGAGGGGCACCTAAGTGGCTCAGTCAGTTAAGCATCTGGGTTAGGAGAATTCTTGCCTGGACCCAGAAATATTAGGATTTTCAAAAGGAAATTGTTTAATTCCAGGAAAGAAATTGTTGTACTTTCTGTAGACAAATGATATTATTATTATAATTTAAAAAATTACAAAACTGCATTTACTAACTGGCATGGCAACTAAAGACATCCATGAATAAATTAATCGAGTAGTTCAGTAAAGAGGAGAAGTCAGAGATTTTAAGTTCCAGAAAAGGGCACTGCAAGTTGATTGTGTTAATTAAGCATTGAAAACTGACACCCAGGATAGGACAAAGTGAGTTCGTAGATCTGTAGACTGTTAGTTAAAGCATGTCCCATTGTTCATTGGCCATAAGGATGTTCATAGTTAGAGACAGTGTGGTTTTGCCATCCTCACTCAAGGTCATTCAGAGTTCAGGCTACCTTATCATCTTCAGTTGGTTAGAGGGAGTCATTATACAAGTCAAGTCAGTTTTGATAATCACTTCAGTGCTGCTGTAAATGGATATTTTTGCTTTATAGTTCTTCCTTCATCCTGTGATGGAAGGAAGGAAGGAAAGGAAAGGAAGGAAGGAAAAAATACCACAAATAATAGGTGAATGAGCAGGCATTTCATTCCACACCACCATCTTTGTTTTGGGTGCCATTCTTCCAGGATCCATTATGTTTTTCTGAATCATTTGAGCCTCCTTTCGATGTAGAACCCTCTGAGATATGAAATGAGATGATGCCTGTTCAACATCATTAAAGACCCTTTAAAGATATTCTTGATGAGACCAATAATTAGGAAAACATGATTATGTTTATAGAATACCTGTAACCTGCCTTAAATGACATGCTCCAGTCATCTGAAAAGATCACGTGGATCACTTTGTCCTACCTTGGACAATCAATTGATTTGTTCTTGAATTTTATTGACACAAGCCTTGGCTTACTCTGAAACTTTTACCTAAACGCAACAAGGAGAGTCAACCAGCACATAAACTCCTTCGTGTTTGCTCTGTAAATAAACTATTATGAATCCACTGTGTCTAGCACCATTGCCGGAAGTTAGGTTAAGGCTTTTGGAGAAAACACTGTGTAGCAGCGTCTATACAATTTCTCTTACTATGAATGCCATTTAAAAGGCAGTTTCAGTGCAGTATTTTAATCCAGGGACCCCAAGCCAAGGGAGAAACTTCTGCATAAAATAATGGAAACTAATACTTCTGAATAGATCTTGCAGATTTACATTTCAGCAGGCTCATAGATGAAAAAAGTTTTGATTGTCTCAGATACTAACAGTACAGAAGTATTAAAACCTCAAAATGGCATAAACCCTTCCCAGAAGCAGAGTATGGGGAGATATTAGCATAAATTCACAAAGCCATGGAGGTTATCACCTAATTCTGGTAAAATTTTAAGGTACATTTTTCAAAAGTATGAGGAAAATTATGTCTAAGGTCACAACTGAACAACTGGAATTATTCCAACCAGTATCACAAGACTCAGCTTGATCAATTATTTAAGTGAAAACATTATTATTTCTTGTGGTGTGGAACTCTCTACAAGATTTTGCATTATAAGGTTTATTGCAAATTGATCATCATTTATGGTTTGGTATCCATGTAATACGTATAAGGATTAAGGTAACAAGTCACATACCTTAAAAAAATACCATTATAACTGATTTTGTTTCTCAAGTAAGTTGGCTGCTGAACATTATTAGCATGAAGGCAAGGTAATTAGTTTCTGACCAATCAGAAATTAAATTTCATGGATAAATCTTAACATAGTTGCAGCTGTGACATTTTTAGCAGAATATTCAAATAAATGGGACCTTCCTGACATTGCTAAAGAAAGAGGACAGACTCATCAGCTAGTAAAATTCTTGTTGTGCCTGTAGCCTTACTGAATTGAGCAAAAGTATTCTCTTTGCAAAGAGTTTGTTTTAAAATGAGGATGGTAAGAGCGGCGCTTGGGTGTCTCAGTTGGTTATGTGTCCAACTTTGGCTCGGGTCATGATTTCATGGATCGTGAGTTCGAGCTCCTTGTCGGGCTCTGTGCTGGCAGCTCAGAGCCTGGAGCCTGCTTTGGATTCTGTGTCTCCCTCTCTCTCTGCCCCAGTACCACTCACACTCTTTCTCTGTCTCTCTCAAAAATAAACATTTAAAAAATTTTTAAATGAGGATTGTAAGAAAAATAAGGCATATGTATTTTTAAACCAAACATACTTAATGTAAATGTAAACCAGCAATGCTATTTATCAATACAATCTCGGTAGAAACTTGAGACTGTTAAAGAACAAAGTGAACACCAGATTTTAAAATACACACACACAGGTAGGTACACACATACACACATACAGGACTATTCTATTCATGTCCAGCAGGTGGTCACATTGAAGAATTCCCTGAACAGTCCCAAGATAGGAGAAAAACAGGAGGTTTGGAATACAGACAGTCTCCTACTTATGATGGTTTGACTTACAATATTTTGACTTTACAATGGTATGAAACCAATAGGAATTAAGGAGAAACTGTACCTCAAATTTTGAATTTTGATATATTTTCCCAGGCTAGCAGTATCTGTACAATGCTGTTTTGTGATGCTGGACAGTGGCAGCAACCCGCAGGTCCCAGTAGGCTCCACAATCAGGAGGGTGAACATTTACAAAAATTCTGTACCCAGCCATTCTGTTTTTCACTTGCAGTACAGTATTCAATAAATTACATGAGATATTCAACACTTTATTATAAAATAAGCTTTATGTTATGGAGTGCATGGGTGGCTCAGTCAGGGACTGACTCTTGATTTCGGCTCAGGTCATGGTCTCATGGGTTTGAGCCCCACATTGGGATCTGTGCTGGGGGCACAGGGCTTGCTTGGGATTCTCTCTCTTCCTCTCCTCTTCCTCAAAATAAATAAATAAATACACACAGAAAATAAGCTTTCTGTTAGACAATTATAGTCAACTGTAGGCCAATGTAAATGCTCTGAGCACATTTAAGATGACCTAGACTAAGCTAGGTCAATAAATTAAGTGTTTTAAATACATTTTTGACTTATGATATTTTCAACTTAAAATGGGTTTACTGGGATGTAACCCCATGCATGGTAAGTCATGGAAGATCAGTGTTAGAAAAGAAGAGTGCATGGTGGTCATATGATGGCCATCTAATTATGCATTAGACACTAATGTGAAATGTATATTTTGTTAATACATATTTATTGTGTATTAATATACAATTATAAAAATATTATGAAATTATATAATAGACAATATATCTTATATTAGGACCAATTCTGATGAAACACAATAGTCACTTTGACATACCATTGACAAGAGCTACTGTAATTGTAAAATATTTTACTTATAAATTTATTGAAGAGACTCATAACAGACAAATTATATTGTCAAATACTTTGTGAAGGATGTTGTCAATCAAAATGCAGGAAGGGCATTACAGGTTGTAGGGCATAGAAAAAGTAAAACTTTTATATAGCCAAGCCACAAATCTAATTCTATATCCCAATGTGAACAACATCTAAAATTACAATTTTCCTGAAAAGAAAGAAAGAAAAGGAAGGAACAAGGAAGGAAGGAGGTTAGGAAGGCAGGAAGGCAGGAAGGCAGGAAGGAAGGCAGGAAGGAAGGAAAGAAAGAAGGAAGGAAAGAAGGAAGGAGAAAAGGAAGGAATTCCTCAATTAGGCCATAGCTTCCATGAGTTTAGCTTACCTTGTTCTGTCTTATCCTTGGTCCAAAATCTCACCATTAGAGTTACCAATCAATGAGATAATAAAGCAATAGAAGTGGCACAGTTATATTAGAGGTGAATTTTAACACCAATAGCCATACACACCTAACACAAAACTTACTTACCTCACCAAAGAAGTCTGGTTTCTTCTCTATGCATTGTCCATTTTCATAGGACTTTACAATTTACAAACCTACTTTAACCCTTTACAATTGCCCTGAATGTTGGAAAACCTGAATTCCCAAGGCAATTAACTGCCAATATCTTGATGTTATGAGATTCATCACTGGATTCCCAACTAGGAACTGCATGCACAATGCCACCACACTGTGTGGTGCTTGTTGACTCAGTGGATAAATGAAAGGATAAGAAACAGTGGAGGTGATGGGTCCCTGGGTGGCTCGGATGGTTAAACGTCCAACTCTTGATTTCTGTTCAGGTCATAATCTCACGATTAATGGGATCGAAGCCTGCATCATCAGGCAGACAGTGTGAAGCCTGCTTGAGATTCTCACTCTCTACCTATCTCTCTATCTCTCCCTCACTTGTGCTCTTTCACTCTAAAAACAAGTTAATTTCTGTTACTTAAAAAAATTAATATTTATTTATTTTTGAAGGAGAGAGAGGCAGAGTATGAGCAGGAGAGGGGCAGAGAGAGACGGAGACACAGAATCTCAAGCAGGCTCAAGGCTCCAAGCTGTCAGCACAGAGCCTAACATAGGGCTCAAACTCACGAACCATGAGATCCTGACCTGAGCCGAAGTCGGCCACTTAACTGACTGAGCCACCCAGGTGCCCCTCAAAATGAATAAATAAATTTTTTAAGGAGCATCTGGGTGGCCCAGTCAGTTGAACATCCCCACTTCCACTCAGGTCATGATCTCTGAGTTTGTGAGTTCGAGCCCCAAGTCCAGCTCTGTGCTGACAGCTCCAAGCCTGGAGCTTGCTTTGAATTCTGTGTCTCCTTCTCTCTCTGCCCTTCCCTTGCTCATGCTCTATCGCTCACTCTCGAAAATAAATAAACATTAAAAAAAGACTAAAATAAATAAATAAATAAATAAATAAATAAATAAATAAATAAATAATTTTTTTTTTTTTAAATGGAAGAAGAGAAGGAGGAGTATGACAGCCTCCATTTGTAATCAAATTTATCCAAATGATCTATCACTTGAGCGTTTCAGGCTGGAAGAAGTGTGAGATAAGAAATTGGAGATAGATAGCTAGATAGATAAATTTTTTAGATAATTTTACATTGATATAGGGATGTTTAACTCAGCAGTTTTCAACCTATATCCTCAACAACATGTTAGAATTCCTGGCTCTATGACTGTTGCCTGAACCTACCAGACCAACTGAACTAGAATCACTGAGAGTAGAGTCTAGATATCTATCTATATATATATTTTTTTAGTTTATCAGATGATTCTAATATTATCAGGCTGAGATACACTGATTTATTTTTTTCTATGATAACACTGTTTGTCTTGACAGGTTTAAGGATGATACTTTCTCTAGAGAAAAAAATCATAGGTCTTAGATCAATAATTCCCAAGCTTTGTTACATATTAGAATTATCTCAAAAGTTATTTTGAAAAACTCCTAATATCTATATCACAGCCAATACCAATACTAATTAAATCACAATGTGAGGGTCAGAGCCAGGTACCAGCATTTCTTAATGGTTCCTGATTGGTCCTAATATGCATTAAAGGCTGGGAACTAATGGCCCATTCTAGATGGTCAATTTAAAGAACAGGGAGAGTATTCATATTGTGTTAATACTCAGAAGCAGAAAATATAAAACTTGCAATTTAATGTGACAAAGAAGTGTATTCATTACTGATATCTGAGAAACTAATAGTTTTTCTTTGAACAAGGAACTGTAACAGAGATGACTGAATATGTGGAATAAATTTGGGGTGCATACTTTCTTCCTTTACACTAGAAATCATGTTTACCAATAAATATAGGATTGGGTAGAGATATGTTTGAAAAATAAGATGGGCAATTGAAATATATATAATATT